TCACACATTTTATATGCTCTTTGGGAGTTCTCAACAAAAGCTATTTCCATCATATGTACTTCATGCATTTAGTTGATTTTGATATTCGGTATCTTCCCGTTGGTAATTTAGCAAAATATATACAATAAAATGAATGTTTTGGATTTATTGATTTCGTTTTGTGTCTTAACTTACTTTTTAGCTCATCATTTTGTTAAAACAAAGAAAAATCATGTGAACCCTAAGCGACTCATTTTTGGTACAAACCACAAGTTCAAAACAACAAGTGTGAACACATGCTCAGTAATGCAACAGTGCAAGATTGTTAGACTATTCTAACATATAGTCCAATCGGTGGAGTTCAATCTGTTCAATTATCAATATGTTTGGTGTGTTTTTCTGATAAATATATTGACTAATTGTAAGACTTGCACTGAACAGCTCAAAGCAATTGTAACAGGCAGAAAACTCTAACAGGGTCTTCGACCTCATGGTTTTAAACTCATGACTTCCTCTTTAAAATCTTGCCGCGGTGATGTCAAGTGGAATTGAAACTCCATTTTTAGTTCTCCAAAGCGCGATTGCAAAAGTATTAAAAAGCCTGTCCTTTAACACATTGCAGAGGCTTGTGAATACAGAAATATTAATGGCTCAGTGATGTGCAGTAATCATCAACAGCAAACTGGCATTTCAATAACAAATGCTTTCTTTTATTGAACAATGCAGAGTGAAACTACTGAGTATTTTAGCACCTTGAAACTTCAAAACACCCCTCAAATCCCCCTAGTGCTAACTTTAGAACACAATGGAGATATAAGGGGGATAATATTGTAGTCACACTACCCAGGGGACAAAACTTTATGAAATACTACTTGCATGAGTGATTGCAAAGTCATATAATTCACCTTAAAAATAGTGTTCTCCTCCTCCAGGGTAGGCATATGACGGGTGGCATGTCTCCAAGGGATCCGAAAGAGTCTACGCTCTTGATTGAGCCAATGCAGTCCTGGGTATTTCCCGCTGTTGATCTGGCAGGGCGAGAAACGTTTACTTAACTAATGTAGAACAAGCTTGACATGTCAAGATTTCCAATGATATTCCTCTTCTAGTATTCCTTTCATTTTAGATGTTGATGATATGTGGTGGTTGCTGCAAGATGGCTGTCGAACGGCTATACCATTCCAATCAGTTTGAACTCTGAAGGTCACATTAGCAAATGTTTTAGAAAGAGTACGGATGTGCCGAAATCAATTTTCTATTGTCAAGTAGTGGGGCAATGTACTTTCAAAACAAACTGCTCTCTGTCGATCGCCTGAATTACAGCCATGTTGATCCATTTGCATCCAAGTTCCTACTTGCATTCCCACAGATTGCAAATACAAGAGGTCAAACAACGTTAGACTTTTACAATGTCGCACAAGTGGCATCTACCACGTTTTCTAGCTTTGAGCGTGGCTCTGAATTAAATTTTTATTTGTATTGGTTTAGAATCAACTATATTGCTCAAATGCATAAGTGTGTATGTGAAAATGTTGTGATATGATTGGTGACCTCATGAAAGAATCAGTGCTTTTATGGTAATTGTATTGTTAAAAAAAACTAAACAGAAACCATAACTGAAGTTTTACCGTTGACAAAAATACTCAATTGTTGCCAAGTTTCCCCACTGAAATTGGAATCAGTTCAATTGCTGCATTTCGATTTTCTTTAAAAGACCTTATTAAATATAGGATTGGGTCTGAAATTTTGAGAAACAATCCATAATTGTAAATTGAAAGAATCTCAATTCTTCTTTTTAATTTTAATTGCTGCAGGTTGATTTTCTTCAAAAGATCTTGAATATTATCCATTCAATCAATGATAAAATTATAGTTTTGATAGTCTTTGAGCTCATTTATGCGAACAATAGTGTTTAAGATTATAATTTCAATTTAAAAATTGTGGATGAAGCATAATCTTGTGTTTTTCAGTTATGGACGTGGCATACATGTTAAATGTGATATTTAGAGGGCCTGTTTAATGACATTTGTGATTTTGGCTGTGGTCTGATTTTGTTCCAGATCTAGCAACCCTATCTAGTTGAGTGTTTTGGGCCATACTAGATTAGGATAAAATGGCACATAAAGAAAGAAAATTCTATTAAGACACACGGTGACCCCAATAGTTTCCATTAAACCAATGCAACCCACATTTTAACCATTACACAATCAATAGGATTTCTTTTGTTTCTTACAGCAGGTTTGGAAGGACATGTGGGAAGTCATTTTTGGTGTAACAATCTATAATCGTACGTCCTGTTTTCAAAAAGCCTCTTGCATGAATTCCAATGATCCTTTACAGTATTTATTTTTTTTCTTTTAAAATTACAATGTAATTATTAGATCACCTGTGCCAGCAGCCATGGCTTCAGACGGATCCTCCGTGGTTGACCACTCATGGTGCTGGACAGCAAAGAGGTCGGAGGAGGTAGTGATGGTGAACACTGTTCTTTAGGTCAACTATTATCAAAAACAGTAAGGGAACAGACGGATGATTTAGTCTGGAAGTAAGAAACCATCACAGACGAACATGATTTGAAAAAATGAATGACATTTGTGTAACCAAACAGATATCTTTAACAATTTTAGGGCAAAAGGTTGAATACCTTCACCACAATAGCAGCACGGTGATAAATGTGACAAGAAGAGAGCCTTTAGGCCTCAGCTAAACCTCGAATCGCTGCTATCAAAGCAGGTGCTCGTGGGAAAATAGAAACATGCGGGTATTTGGTTTTTAAAAGCTCAGTAGCAGCGAGGTCATGTTACCTCTGTAAATAAACGTCAACATGACCGAGCACAATGACAGCCAAGCTTGAACGCTACCATTAGTGCCGGCAGCTTTTACAAAAGGGGGAAAAAAGACACTTCGACCAAAAGGTGTTTTCGTGACGGATTTGTTTTGTATCTGATTTATGCAGAAATGAAAGAGGCTCTGAAACTTTCAAAGCTGACTGAACATTCTGACACTCACAGGACTTTTTTTAGCGAGTGCTAAATGCTGTCTTAATATTTCTCTCCCATTAAGGAAGTTGGAAATACTACTAAATTCATTCATTAAGAATTGACAAGAGGAACAATGCTAGCCTAATGCTAACAAGAGTCAATTTGATTTGTTTTAGGATGGAGAAGTAGGTGGAGAACCTGATTAAAGAAAATCTGATGAGTCTTCTCTAATTAAGTTAAGTTATTGCACTTATCTCAAGGTATAAACAATGCAGTTCTTCACTTTTTTTGAGCATTTGTATTTAATATGTCTGAAGGTCTCCAGAAAAGCTGTTTATTTTTTTACCTTTAACACAAGAAACTTTATTTAGAGCCGTATAATTAATGTTTATGTTGTAAAAAATGGCTAAAAGCAATTAGATTAGATTATCAACCTTTTTAAGTCAACAACATTATTGATTATTAAAAGTACCTAAATCGATAACACCGTTTAATACAGTATTTCTATTTAAAACCAATTGTTGAGTATAGTGAATAGCATAAAGATAGATAGATAGATAGATAGATAGATAGATAGATAGATAGATAGATAGATAGATAGATAGATAGATAGATAATAGACAATACTTTAATATACTATATATTTAATATGATATACATATTATATTTATAACCAAGGTTATTTTACACACGAAAACCAAACATTTTTTAAATAATTGGGAGGAACTCACAGTTATATATTACCAAACATGATTTTTTTTAAGTAAGATACAAATGCGCGCACACAAAAAACAAAACACATTAACGCTGCTAAATACCGAAAGAGCCACGATTGTTTCCAAAACGCCAGGTTAAATACCACCTGTCTGAGAACGACAAGCACTCGTCGGAGCAATTCAAAGTAAAACAGTCAGAATTTAGTGCTCTGTAACTTTAACAAATGCTTTAACGAAGGTAAAAATCACTTGCCTGCACGCAAAAGTGTCCAAACGGTGAATCAGCGTTTACCTGACGGACGCATATATCCAGGTGAAGGTTCGATCCGCGTCTGAACGTCCTTAGTGCAGATCAAGCTCGCACTGACTGATCGCGCCTCTCCAGCAGGACCTGCTCATATCCATATTGTTTTTTACAGGCTTGAGACGACACAAGACGTGTTTGCAGAAGTTGAACAGGTACCACCCTTCCGGATGACAGGGGCTAATGTAAACGGAAGTGGTGTGTTCTCTAGACGCTCTCTCTGTGTCAAAGTTTGTAAGAGATTCAGCAACGAAATGTCCATTTTATTAGCATTTTATTTATTTTTTATTTTTTTATTTTTTTATTTAAGTATTTATTTATACCATACTGAAAGTACTGCTTTTAAAGTTTTATAAGATTTAACCCAGCTGTGCAGAAAATTAATTTCTAAACTGTAAATATTTCCCATTTATTTAATCCCATTTGAGATTTAATAAAACAATATTTAGTGTTTATAAGTTTACACTATAAGCTGCTGTACGTTTATTTGTTCGCTAGGTGGGTTCTGAGACTTCTTTTGATTCACGAGCATATATAATATAATAATATTTGACATAATATTGTGTTTATATTGTTTTTATATATTCTTATTTTAACTAGCATATTAATTTATTTATTTTAATCAGGTTTGATCATTTTAAACTAGTTTGTGTAACGACTGTTTGGAGTTGTTTGTTTTAATCACATTTTTGTTTATTTATTTTAATAAAATGGTAAGCCATTATTATTTTGGCTATTATTAGTTTATATTACGCTAATAATATTTATTTTGTTCTAAATATTTACATCTTAATGTTTATTTCTAAATACAATGTTCATTTACTTCAGACTTTTCATTTACTCATTGAAAATCTTTTGAATAAGTTTGTTTTTAATTATTGTGCGCGCAGTTTTAAATACTTTAAATTAACTAACTGAATACAGTAAACATTTTTCTTTTAAAGTTCGTTTTAAGATAAAATTTACCAGCACAATTAAAAGCCACGCAGTGTCAATTCCAAGGGTGCGCAATGACGTCGTGCGTGACCAGAGTTTCCAGGGTAACGTCGCTTGTTAGTACACCGACATGCACAGGCGGAACTTTAGCCACATTTCGATAAACTATATTTTTGTCTTGATTTTGATCTTCAAACCACAATACATAATAGTCTAGTTAATTTTTAAACCGTTTGTATTGTAATTTAATTATAAATATACTTTACTAGTACTGTTTTGACATAAATCACGTGATGTTCACTAAAGAGCTTTATTGCACCAGGTTTAAACCTAAAACAGCTTAACGTTAAAACAGCACTTAAAACTGCTACTGCCGAATGAATGCGGAAACTGGATGCTGTTTTTCTAAAACTCTGAAGATGTTTTTTAAATATAATTTTGTTTGACCATAATTTCTGACTATTTGACTAGTTAGTTTTACCATAAGACTGTCAGACATTCCTCTTGTGCAGTGACTTTTTGAGAATGACTGGGGAAATTATTAAGGATTTCTTAACAATGTGATGTGATCTACAAATGATGGTCACTATCAAGATATTCTTCAGAGATCACTTTCATTTTTCAGCCATATGGACGTCCGTGTTGGAAGGATGACAGGTTTGTACTTATTCAACTCTCAAATGTTTGTCATTGAAATAACAGTAATGCTAATTCATAAATTCATCTGCAGACAGGTCTAAGGAAGTGATGTTGGAGTCTTCAGTTAACAATAAGAAAAGATGCATCCCGAGTTCTCTGACACAATTGTGCAAACAGCTTGAGGACAGAATCATGCAGATATCACAGCGTTACTCCATCTGTGATGAAGACCGACAGTCTCTGGTCAGACAGATTAAAAATATATTGCAGACATTGTCTAAAAGCGTTTGTGAGAAATTAATAAAAGTCATCATTTACTAACCCTTTACTTGTTTCAAACTTTTATGTGTTTCTTTCTTCTGTTGAACACAAGATACAATAGTTTCAAAACATTTTGAAAACGGTAACCATTGACTTCCATTCTAATTGTTTTGTTATTTACCATGGAAGTCAATGGTTACAGGTTTCTAACAATATTCTAAATATCTTCTTTCATGTTCAACAGAGGAAAAGCCCACTTGCGAGTGAGTAAATGGTGAATAAATCTTAATTTTTTGAGTGAAATGTCCCTTTAAGTGACTGCACACTCTCAAAAAATAAATAAAAAAAGGCGAGCATTTCAGTCACACACTGACCCTCGTCAACGCCAAGCTATTGTTACTTTATCTCCCTTGTGTCCTTTTTGTATTTTTGAGAGTTTACATTGTCTGCAGACTTTTTCATTCATTCAGATTATTTTGTTCTACTCATTTACTGGATTGTATACACTCCGTTAAATCTCTTTTTTTTTTTTTTTGCTTTTGACTTTTAGACTGCAGTGCTGTCCTCTGAGCTGGCTCTGATTTGGCAGGACCTGAAAATCCGTCCCGTGGACTCCACACTGAGCCGGGATGAGAAAGTGCAGCTGCATCGCCAGACCTTCAGCGAGGTTCTGCACATCTGTGAGCAGCTGTTTCTGCGCTACCTTCACCTGACAGAGACTCTGCGGAGGCGAGGGGTCTTCAGCGATTGTGCCAACCGCAAGAGGCTGGCAGCTCAGTTGGCCGTGGACTGCACCAGTCTGTAAGTGTCTCTTTTTTATATCAAGTGTGCAATTATTTTTAATTAATTCATTTATTTATTTTATTAATTGTTTTTGACATTAAATTGTGACTATTTCTGTTTGCAGCTTGAATATTCGTTCAATACGATGCCGGATTGTCACAGGAATCAAGGCTATGAGGAGTACTGTAATACAGCAAAAAGCTTTACAAACAGAGACGTGCACACAGGAAAAAACTGTGGAGGATGACCTCAGGGAGGTGTGTTATGTGTAATCATGTTGTAAAGAGAGACATGTTAAGGTCTTATTAGAATGTTTTTGTGTTTACAGATTCAGGATAAAATCGGGGAGCTGGATCTACAAAGTGTGTATGACCTTCTGCCCTGCAACATGGAGCAAATCTTATATAAGACCGACAATCAGTGTACGGCAAGACATACAAATACATGTTTTGCCTTTATGTATGCAACTACATGTTGTTTTAAAGAGACCCAAAAACTACTACTAATGCTTAAAGAAGCCTTGACCTTCTTTAATTCTAGCAGACTCTAAAAGCTTGTGACCCTCAGGCCATTCAAGAATAAGTAGACTGTCTATTTCTTCAGTAAAGCATTTCAAACCTTTCAGCTGAAATCGTGGTCCTACCAGCATTTTGAGAGTCAAAAAACAAATACAGGCAAAACTAAATGAATGCACATGGCTCCTGATGATATGTTGAGTTCTTATGAAGCAAAAGAGCTGTTTTTTATGTAAAAAATGAACATTTAAAACAAGCTTTTTTGTTAAAACAAAGTTGTTTTGAATCTTTTTACTTTCTTTATACAGACAAATATATTCCTTACAAAATTTTATTCCACAGAAAAGCATACAAATTTAGAAAGTCATGACAGTAACTAAATGATGGCATTATTAATATGTTTCTGGTGGACTATCCCTTTAAATGGCTTACATGTGGAATTCAGGAACACTTGTGATTGGTGACACCAGTCACAGTTAAATGAACTGCAGTTTAAAGTTACATTGTTTCATTTCAAGCTGTGCATTTATAATAAAAAGGGATGTATTGACCTTAATCTGCAAGGCTGAAGTGCTCTCACTTTTGCAATTGTTTTAGAACTTCACTTATGGGTGAAATGGCTAGGAATAACAAACAGTCAAACTTCCTCTATAAACAAGTGTGTTCATAACTATACACAAAAAGTTGATTGATTCAATAATATTAGATTGCAACATTAAGAAGCATAGTGCGCTCTTTTGGACGTCTACAAATCAATGAAAATTAATGAAACTGGCCAAAAAGATTCCAACGGGAGCCTGCTTGAACGTGATGAATAAGGTCAATACATGAGAATTCTTATATACAACCAAATTACAGGTGATGGGTTATAAAGCAAGACGTTACTATAGGACACTCTTTAAGATGCATCATGCATCACTCATAAGATGCATCACTCATAAGATGCATCATTCATCCAGGTTCCACAGCAAGCATCTGCAGTACACTAAAACAAGAGCGAGATCAGAGTCCCAATCAAAACCGATTGGTCAGATTAAAGGTGACAAGAAATTTAACCACAAGTTCCATATTGCAAATGTTCAACGTTTAGCATGTAGACAAATTCTGTTTCTTCTCTCTTAGGGATGTCATTCCATGCCAAACCTGCGGAGAGAGAGTCTTCTGGAGGAGCTGGATATAAGGCAGCTTCGTCGGCCTTCATCCCCATTGCTCCTACTGTCCACAGATTCTCCTTCCAGCTTGGAGAAACACATCAGCCCTGGAGAGGATCTGAAGAGGTTGGGATTTTAAAATTCACCCATGCAACATATCATTCATAGTGCAAAAATAAACATCGATGTGTTTTTAGATTATTACAGGAGAGCGATAATGAAGACGACTGTAACTGTGAGGCAGATCTGTTCCCACTTATAGATGCGTTGACCTTCTTTAACTCTAGCAGACTCCAAAAGCTCAAAAAAAGACTACTGGTACGTAGAGACTGGATCATCTGCGATAAACCGTCTGCAGATCTGACTTTACAGTTGTTCATTGCTATTTTCTGTCTAGAAAATGAAAGAGGAAGTAAAGGAAAAAAAGAAGGGCAGAGCTGTGGAAAAACAATTGCGTGCACAAGGAGACGTGGTCAGTGTGGCGTTTACCCCTCAAACCATCATGCGCACTGCCGCGGTCAGAGTGCCTGATTGGGTTTTTCCAGAGACCCTCAAACTCAGGATGTGCCCACCAGTCTACAATGATCTCACTAAAGAGGTGCTACTCTAATGTCAGTGTTGTTTTGGTAGTATTTATATACTGTTAAGGTGTTTTTGAAAGTTAGAAATTTGAATCTTGTTTTTTTTTATTTTATAATTTTTTTGGTCATTTTAATGCATTTATTTATTATTGTAGAGTATATATTAGTGTATTTAGGTAGTTCTAAGTATATTTTTAATGGTTTTATTGTCTGTCTTTGGCAGTTTCATTTGTATTTTTAAAGAGTATCTTTAGCTTAATTGTATTTTTACTCAGATTTTTTATTTTATTATATTTTATTTTAGACAACTTTTAAAATGTTAGTTTTTTCATTTAATATTCATATTTTATTTTAATAAGTGATTTTTTGTATATTTGTAGTTTGAAATAATATTATCTCTGTATTTAAAATGTAGTTACATATTATTAATATTTACCAAATAATTAATAAAGTAATGTGTTATTTTATGTCAGAAATATCTGTGTTTTAGAGAGAAAGTCAAAAGAGGATTTTATTTTGTTATATTTAATTTTTTTTTATTTTAGACAACCTTTCAAATGTTTGTTTTCCCATTTAATATGCATATTGTATTTCAATAAGTGATTTTATTTGTATATTTGTAGTTTAAAATAATATTATCTCTATATTTAAAATGTAATTATATATTATTAATATTCAACAGGGTTTTTGCAGGTCTTGAATGAATCTTAAAGTCATTAAGTGGTGTGTAAAACCTTTAATAATTTGGCTTATATTGCACTTGCATGTATGATTCCGATGTCTAGATTGATTCGGCATCGGTTCTTCAGATGGATCAGAACTTGATTGAACAAAAACAGGAGATGAGCAATGTCTATGAGGAATTATTTAAGAATATTTCAACAAAGTATTTTGACTTTGAAGAGGTAAGCCAAGTAGTGGTCTTTGGACTAGATGATTTGGTAGATGACATCCTCATATCATACATCTGAGAATAATAAAATCGTCTTTTGATCCATCTTCTAAAGGATCCCACTATCGAGCCTTCCTTGAAAAATCCCTTATGTCTACCAAAAAGAATAGTTAATGACAAACTAATAAACCAATCACTCAGGAGGCCCAATCCATACAACATATCCCACAGGTACTGTTCTACATTATTATCTGTGAATTTGTTGTACTTTGATATCACAAAATTACATTTAATCTTGCATCAAATATGCAGAAAGAGAATCGAGAGGAATGTAAACAGAAAGAGGCCTGAAGATGTGACCACAAGAGCGTACAGAGCCTGGTTCCAATGGTGGAGGTGTCAACTATCACTAGATGATTATCTGGACTACATTTCCAATCAGGTAAGTTTATAATATGTGGGTTTGCTAATGGCTGATGAGTATAGTCAGACTGGTGGGTCATTTGTGTACTTCAGTAGTTGTGATTGTTTTTTTGTGTCTTGGCTTCGAAGGACTCTGATTATCTGCCAGTTCTGTTTCACTTGTATGACAGTGACGATGATGGTGAAGAGGCAGAGAGACACAAGTTGGATCAACTCCAGAAAGCGGAGAGGAGAAGGTCTGGTATTAATATCTGGATTTTATGTTTAGTTCTTCTTCCCTAATTTATTTGGAGATTGACACATGATTTGGTGAGTCTTCATAATTGGCCTCATAGTTGAAAAAACAAGCACAAAACAATGTGCAATACTAGTAATGTGAGATTCCAGTTATTCTATGTCTATAATTAAAAATGAACTCGAAGATTAATCTTATCAATATTATCTGATGATCATCGCTTTCAGAAAGCAGCAGGAAAGGATCGATTCACTTAGGAGATGCAAACAGGAGTTTGTTCCTGGGTTCTGGAACATCAACACTATAGAGATGGGGGGACTGGGGAGAGAACCAGAACTGGATGGCATGTTATTTTTCTTTAGAAACAAAAATAATACTGGTCTGTTTATGAAAATGTGCTATTTACACATGGAATATCTGTGTTTCAGAGAGAAAGTTTGAAGAGGATGTGGTGAGTTCATGTTTTTTTCCTTGTAATATAAAACTGCACTTCTGTTTTGAACTAATTTCTCCTTTATATGTCATGTCAGCTCAACAGAAATGAGTTTAAATCATAGTTGTAGCTTGCATAATCACTTTTTTAATACAGAGGAATAGATGAAAGTACAGATAGATAGATAGATAGATAGATAGATAGATAGATAGATAGATAGATAGATAGATAGATAGATAGATAGATAGATAGATAGATAGATAGATAGATGGATGGATGGATGGATGGATGGATGGATGGATGGATGGATGGATGGATGGATGGATGGATGGATGGATGGATGGATGGATGGATGGATGGATGGATGGATGGATGGATGGATGGATGTAAGGATGCAAAGATTCATTTAGGTATGAATGGAGAGACTAATGAATTGATGAAAGACTGATGGATGAATGGACTGATCATTGGATGGATGATTAATAGAGATATTCATGGATGGATGGAGGAATGGATGGACTGATAGATTGTTGGATGAATGGATTAATGGTGAGACTAATGCATGGATGGAAGGATGGATTGATGGATGGACTGATTTATAGTTGGATGGGTGGATTAATGGAGAGACGGACAGATGGATGGATGGACAGTTTGATGGATGGATAGACTAACAAACTGTTGGATATATGGATTGGTTGATGGACTGAAAGATCGTTGGATGGATTAATGGAAAGACTGATTGATGGATGGATTGATGGATGGATGGATGGATGGATGGGTGGATGGATGGGATGTACAGATAGATTGTTGGATGGATGGATGGATGGAAAGTTTAATGGATGGAAAGACTGATGTATGGATTAATGGAGAAACTGATGGATGGATGGATGGAAAGTTTGATGGATGGATAAACTAATAGATCATTGAATGGATGGATTGATTGAACTGATAGATCGTTAGATTGATGGATTAATTGAAAGACTGATGGATGGATTAATGTACTGATAGATCGTTGGATGGATGGATTAATGGAGAGTAATGGATGGATGGATGGATGGATTGAAGGTCTGAGAGACGGTTTGATGTACTGATAGATCATTCGGTGGATGGAGTAATGGGGAGACTGATGGATGGATGGATGGATGGATGGAAAGTTCAATGGATAGACAGCATAATATATTGTTGGATGGATTGGCTGTTGGACTGATAAATTGTTAGATTAATGGAGAGACTGATGGATGGATGGATGGATGGATGGAGGGTCTGATGAATGGACCAGGAAACGTATGGATGGATTAATGTAGAGACTGATGGATGAATAGAAGGAGAGACTGATGGACTGAATTATGGAGAGACTGGTTGAAATATGGATGGATGCAGAGACAAACTGATGGATGGATTGATGGTTGTTCTGGACAGGAGGGTGAAGGTCCAGCTTCTGGTCTGCTGGATACTGAACAGTTGCAGCTCAGGCTGGAAAGGGTCTGGAATGCCCTGCATCTGCCAGAAGGACAGCGACTAGACATGGCCATTAAATACAGCTCATACGAGCACAGGGACCATCTGCAGGAGGTATACAATAATAATAATAATAATAATAATAATAATAATAATAATAATAATAATAATAATAATAATAATAATAATAATAATAATAATAAATAAACTATCCTGGCTATGCATCATCATCTTCAGTGTTGTCACATAGTTGCATTTGTCCTATCAGGCTATTGCTGCATGGGAGCAGGCCACCTGTTTGATCCAGAAGAGGGAGCTCTTGCTTTCCAGGTTGGAGGACTTTGAGAAGGAGGCATCTGATCCCAACAGATTTTTCCAGCCGGGTACATTAGACACACAGAATAATGAATTCTGCCCTGTTGAGATGATGGATTGCATGCATGGGACTATATCATACATTTAGTACAGATGTAATGTGAATACACAGGTTTTCCTGGCTCATCTATGGCTAGAATGGAGGAGGCGACTCAAAGGGAGAAGCTCAACTCTCAAATTTCAGTTGTAGATGAGGAACTGTCCCAGATAATAGGCCAAATCACAACCCGTTTTCATGACAACATCAGCTATAAGGTGAGAGCGTGACTGTTTGTATACACTATTGTTAATTTGCTTGCAGTTGTCCTTCTTTGTCATTGTTTTTGGCTGTCCCAGGGTCGCCCATACAGGGAGAAGATGCGCTGGGACCGGACTGAGATGTTGTACTGGCTGCAGCAGGAGAGACGGGTTCAATCTCTGGAGATGTTTCTAAAAGGACAGACAGCTCTACCTGTAAGGCTTCCTCCTCTCAGTCAAAGTCAGGAGCTTTACCCGGGCAACCATCAAAACCTACTGGAGCAACCTACATCAGACTGTGAGAGAAGTGGGAGAATATTACAACACTGTGAACTCTAATGACAAATGTAACAACTTAGTTCTAGTTCAGTTCTATGCAAATAAAGCAGGTTCTGACAGTTTTTTACCGAACTGATTGTTTCTATACTGTTTAGGTAAAAACATTCAAAAGCTGAAGACTCCATACACATTGATCAACATTTGATCAATATTTTTTCTTATTTCTTATTTGTAATTAAACCCCCTTGGAATTAGAAGATGTACACTTTTTTATGTTTGAAATATTGCAAACTTATACTGTATTATGTGTCATGCCAATATAATTACTACAGAACTAATGATTTTAAATGCATGTTATTTGTAAATAAATATTATATGCCAGTGTTTTAGTATTCTTGATGTGCTTTAATAAATTGCATTAATATTTAGCATATTTTCAAAATATTTTCTATTTTACCAAAGCATTTAAATGTGATTATTTTATAACTATTGTTTTATTTTATAAAGCAATTTAATGTATATGTTTTTACATTTATTTCAGGGTATTAATTTAAAATTTAGGTGAAATCAAATATATAGTCTGTGTAATTAAACAATGTACAGTGGTTGTAATTACATTTATTATTCTATTTTGTGACTCAAACAATGGATTAATAACATCATATTTTCAATCTTCATATGCAAAAATCCCAAAATCACATTTTTTTTTGCATATTAAATTGATCTAAAAAAATCTAAAAAGTTTTTTTATTATCATTTTGAGGGATGTAAACAAAAACAATAGTCCCAGGATATTTCCTGTTTTACATTTTTCATTTCTATAGCATCCGTGAATCCAAAAAGAGCAACATATTAATAAATGATATTATGACGGCTGTTTTACAAGAAGTTATGATTGAATTGCCTCTTGTTACAGCTATGAAATAGTTTGATAACAAGCAGGAAATGTTCATAAGCAAAAGACGTTTATTTATTTATTTATTTGTTTGTTTATTTTTATTTAACCTTCAAATAACAAACAGGGATTTTCAATTTCCATTGTTAAACATATATAACATTATATCCAAGCAGCATTTAATAAACAAAGTAGTACATAATAATAATAATAATAATAATAATAATAATAATAATAATAATAATAATAATAATAGCATGAATAAACCTTAAATAATACAAAAGAAAACACATTACATTCAGAGTGGTCAGTCCATATGAGCTGACATAAGTTTAGATAGCTTTGAGGCACCTTTTGTTTTTACCTGTTTTATGGATTTATATAAAATGTTGAAATATTTTTAAATGCTTTGAAACAAGAAGAAACTTGAACAAATCTACATTTGTGAATGTAAAATTTAGCTACAATTGACATATTATTACACAGAAATTCAAATTCTTTGTTTTTCATAAAAACGCTGAATTTCACAATGTGATAGTCAAACGCAGGTATTACATTTTTTATCATCAATCACTCATACAGTCGGTCCCAAATGGCTTTGACAATAGAACAACTATAAAAAAGATGTTCCTGAGATTTAATATCTTTCAAGCGGAAAATACAAGCTTTACTTTGTAAATTAAATCTTATTGTAAGAAATTCATTAAATGGATAAATGTCATTAATTGTTTTGAAATGCACTGCTTTCATTTTGGGTAACAAGGCAAATGACAGGTATCTTTTTCTTACTTTAAAACTTTTCTTTTAACAGAAAGAGGGAAATATTTTTTTATCAGTAGTGATCTCAAGACCTTGTTGTTACATTTAATATCCAGAAATGAATCATTTTCAATAAACAAATTCACAGGCCAGAGACATGCCCACATTGAAATGGTCTATAGTTGGGTGCGCTGTTTCCCTTTCGACCAATAGTCGGCAGTGTTCCTTTTCCAGCTTGTTTGTGTTGCTTCTGTCATCCGAGTAGAAGAGGAGAATCGCGGCGCTCTGATTGGCTGTGCTCGCATCACGTCATGTTTTCTGTTTCTAAACGTTTCCTGTCAAATCTTCCTTTCGGGATTGACACAGCTCACCGCTTTCAGTTATTTCTGATCGAAATGACAGCGAATAATCAGCAATGGACGGGTATGTTTGTTTATTATTCTACTCCATATTTCAAATTCACATTTAAACGAGCGGAACTGATTATTTGAGCCATTACTGGCTTATCATAACAAGACCAAAGGTCCCACGAGCAGCCTTTTGAAAATAACAAACATATATTATCAGTAAAGCGTCACATTTATAAAGATATTAAATAAGTATCTATAAAGATAGACATAAATAACTACTCATAACAATGAATTAGGCCACATTTACCGTAAATATGAGGCGTTTTTGTATTTCTAATGAAAAGAAAAACTAGTTATATTCCTATTAGGTACAACTAAATTGATTTCCATTGACAGATGTTCTCTGCAAGCACAGTCATATTGACAAATATCGATGTTTTAAAAGTCAACAGTGTCTAAAAGCAAAGTCTTGCTCTCGATGACATCCATCAGCCACTTTTCCCTGAACCTCATTTGTCCTGGAACATGTTTGGAGCGGTTGCTTTCGATGATGAAATGCACGTTCACGGGCAGGCTGTCAGGTTTGATTTTGGAGATCTCTATGATGAAGTAGACGCGGGTCGTGGCTCTGGGGATCGGGGTGAATCGGGTCGGGATGCTCCACTGGACCTCGTACTGGTACTGGGTTTTGAACTCCAGCTCTGCCTGCTGGAGAAACGTCAGACTGTAGAGCCAGCCGGGGTGCTGGATCTCCCACGTGGCCATGTATTGTCTGATCTGTTGCTCTCCGATTTCGATTGTGAAGTCTTTACATGAGATCCAGTCGATGTTTTTGATTTGACAAGCGGCATTTGCGTTGTCCGATTCCATAGCTGTCAGCGCTTCTGTCATGTTGACATCGGTTTCCATGGCGATGAGTGACAGCAAGGTGACGCGCACTGAGACGTCACGTTTTAAATCGATTTAACGCGCATTTATACATTTCATTTGTTGGCCATTATTATTATAATAAAGTAATTGCGATGTTCTGCTTTGAAGCCCAGGGAATCTTTGGGTGATGTAATGGTTATTACAATAATGCAATGCAAATATAATTAACATATTTTGCAAACTTCAGAAAGCTCACAAAAGCATCATAAGCATTTTAAGTCATGCCATTGCTTTGTATCAGCAGCAAACCAAAAGTTGTTGATCAGTGTGATTCATAAATGAATTATTCAGACCTGTTTTGTGAGCTGGATAAATGATTAGTAGAAAAGATGTAACTCAAAAGGAACTGGTCTTTCACTTCTCAGATGATCACGTAGAAGGAGGTATAGGTGTAAAAGTTTTCTGTTCTGTTTCTGTTATTCTTGTAAGAAGGTTTTGAATATTAGACTTGAGCCTTGAGTTTTCTTTCAACTGATATATATATATATATATATAAGAGCAATTTCATGCAAATGTCAACCTCACCATTAAAAAAAAATTCATTTTGTTTTGTTGTGTAAGCAAGTATTTTACAGTACTTTAGAAGTTACTTACTCAAGAATGTCTCTGTCAGTGTTTTCAAACAATTATGTTTGATTTATCAAAGTGACACAAGTGTCAATTTCACATGCCACACACATAACGGAGAGGTGTCAAATCCATAACGAGGCTTTTTCCTCATAAATGCAAAGATATTAAATAAAATAAAGCCAATTGTGTTTGTTCTATAGAGAGAACTCTTATCCATTTGATTAGCATTATTTCTTTTAGATTGTGCAGTTTAACTCCACAAAGTAATAAAAAATTTAATTTTAATAAAAATGAAAGAACAATTCCCTATTTACAGGTCTCCTGAGAACTATTTATAATATTCAACATAAATGTGTGGCTTCCTAGTGACAAATCACAATATCTGTCTTCACAGATCACCTTTAAAATGAGAAGATTTCCCACCTCATATAGAAGCACAGTTATCAAGCAGATGTGAAATGGCTACAACTTTCATCTGCAGGGCTCAGCTGCTCTAATGCCAGATCCACACTTCAGGAGTATCCCAGAATTCCCTGTAATAACCCCACCGCATGTCGCGCATCAGGAGCACACTGGACACCGTTACCAAAGCCGTGAGCGGGACGGTGAACACAGACCTCCTCTCTAAAATCACACGCCTCAAACCAGGAAAAGCTTTAGAGGTCAAGGTGGAATGTCCTGCCGTGGAAGCCGAGGCCGGAGCGGTCATGACTGTGGCTGCAGCTGAGCCACAAATGGAGAAAGAGGGGAAAAAAGACATGGAAGACTCCCCCAAATCTGGAAACGCATCCAGCACGGGTGCAAAGCAAACACTACAGCGCTTCCAACCCTCTGCGTTCACAACCAACATGGACGAAACATACAATCACCTGGCTGAACATGTCAATACCTACTTTGGAAGTGATGACAAGCGGTTGGACAGAGGAGAATCAACACCATCTCAAATCAAACCTCTTCCCAAAGTGAATAAAGATCATATTATAGCAGCGCCTGTGTGCCATAAATCTACACCTGAAGCTAATCCTGCTATTGATAAAAACAGCTCTGTCCCACAAGCACCGTCCATTCCAGTTCAGGATGAGGGGGTTTCGTCTGTTCCCATTTCACCGAGAAAAGGCATCAGTCATTATCTGTCATACCCTAGGCCCAGCGTTCAGGCTTTTGTTGGGAACTATATTGCGCCTCTGGTACCGAAGTTCAGGGCGGATGCAAAAAGTGGTGCAGGGGAGAAGGACAAAGCCTCTGGATCTGAACCGGATGTGTCTCAGGATGTAAAGAAAGCAGAGAGCAAGGAGCAGAAAGAGGCTGAGGAGAAAGCACAGAGACTGCTGTCTCAGAGGGAGAAGGTAAAACACTAGGCCAGTAAATATAATAGAACATGTCAGTTAATTTAACTGCACAATCAAAATAAATCGAAAATATTGAAATCATTAAAGCAAGATTAAAGTAAAGCTTAAGAAGATAGTAATACAAGTTTTAATATATAATAATTATATTAATACTAATATACTGTATATTGAGAAATCAAACTATAAATATTTGTGAGTAAAATTGCAAGAAATAAACAATTAAATCTTATATATTAAAATTTTATAGAGATAGAGAATTGTAGAAAATAGTTACCAAATTATTCCAATAATTTAACCTATTTATTTTGATGAAAACACTTTGGGTTGATTACATTTTCATCAAAATCTTTTTGGCATTTTGTTGTTTTTTATAAAGCTTTGTTTTTTGGGGGGATTCCATTTATAAATAATAATAATAATAATAATTTTTGGTATTATCATTTTATTTTTAGTGCTGTTTTCACCATTACTTAATTTCACAATTTTTGATGATAGATGGATGGATGGATGGATAGATAGATAGATGGATAGATGGATGGATGGATGGATGGATGGATGGATGGATGGATGGATGGATGGATGGATTGATGGATGGATGGATGTAAAGATAGACAGACAGATAGATAGATAGATAGATAGATAGATAGATAGATAGATAGATAGATAGATAGATAGATAGATAGATAGATAGATAGATAGATGGATGGATGGATGGATGGATGGATGGATGGATGGATGGATGTAAAGATAGATAGATAGATAGATAGATAGATAGATAGATAGATAGATAGATGGATAGATGGATAGATAGATAGATAGATAGATAGATGGATGGATGGATAGATGGATAGATAGATAGATAGATAGATGGATAGATGGATGGATGGATGGATGGATGGATGGATGGATAGATAGATAGATAGATAGATAGATAGATAGATAGATAGATAGATAGATAGATAGATAGATAGATAGATAGATAGATAGACAGATAGTAAATGATTATACATAAATTTATATTTGCATACATATTTCTTTCGATCATATTGAGTGAATGAGGCCTGTTTTATTCCAATCTAAGTGTTGCATGTGTGCTGTGTGTAGATTATAGCACGTGTTAGTGTGGATAACCGGACGAGAGCGCTGGTCAAGAGTCTCCAGCGTGTCACTGATGTGAAGATCACCATCAGCCGAGTGGAGGAGCTGAGCTTCCACCTACTGGAGTTTCCAGAGACCAGAGGAGTCGCGGTCACTGTAAGTGTATGTCCACATTCATCTATTTACACTGCCATCTCAACCGCTAACTTTTCTCCTGTCTGTAGGAGAAGGTCGTCCCATGTCTGTTGCGTCTGAGGCAGGCGAGAGATGTCAGTCTGCAGGCGGCAGTCAGACAGGCTCTCACTCTGGTGGGATACATTGATCCGGTCAAAGGCAGAGGGATCCGTGTGCTCTCCATTGATGGAGGAGGAACCAGGTGACACACACAGATGACAGCTGGGGGAAATCATTAGCCTAAAGTTAACAGATTGTGAAAGTGCTTTTAAGAGAAAAGTAGGTCAGCCCAAATTTACCTTAAAGTAGGTCATCCAAAAATAGAACTGACACAATTTTTGTAATCCCTTTAGAAACTGTCCATCATCTCAGGGTACTTTTCATATTTTTTTATTTGTTATAGTTTTATCTAAAATAAAATAAAATAATAAAATAATTAAAATAACATTATTATTAATTGTTTTATAACAATTGAATAATAATATCAACAAAAATATTTTAAAGCATTATTATTATTTTTATAACAATTGAATAATAATATCAATAAAAATATTTTAAAGCATTATTATTATTTTTTCATAACAATTGAATAATAATATCAATAAAAATAATAATAAAATATATATATTTTTAAAAAGCATTATTATTTAATTTTCTATAACAATTTAATAATAATAATGACAAAAAAAAATTATTTAAAAATTATGTAAAAATATCAATAAAAAGAATAAAACAGTGATAAAATAAAACTAAAAATAATTTAAAACTCATTATTATTATTATTTAATTTTCCCTAACATTTTAATAATATCAATATAATAATAATAAAATAAACAAAAATAAAATAAAAACTACTTAAAAAGCATTAATATTTAATTTTCTTAAACAATTTAATTTGATCTATTATTAAATAAAATTTAATTAAAATTATGCTTTGTTTACTGTTTGTTTTTTGTAGGGGTTTGGTTGCATTACAGGCTTTGCACAGGCTGGAGAGTTTGACCGGGAAGCCTATTTACCAGCTGTTTGACTACATATGTGGAGTTAGCACAGGTATGCTTAATATTATTAGAACCACTTGCACAATGTTTATAAGATATATAAATGAACACCACTTTCCCTCTGTCTTCTAATTATTTTGGGGGGATTTTTTGTTTTCTCAGGGGCCATTTTGGCATTTATGCTGGGTGTGTTCCAGATCCCCCTAAAGGAGTGTGAGGAACTGTATCGAAAGTTAGGATCTGATGTCTTTAAGCAGAATTTAATAGTGGGCACAGTGAAAATGGGCTGGAGTCACGCATACTATGACAGCCAGATGTGGGAGGAGATCCTCAAGTAAGACAAAGTTCACATAACTATTTGGGAACTCACAGTTTTGATTAATTAAGTTTTGCTTGGTTTATGAGCAGAACAGTTTAATTATTATTCAGTTTTGTTTTAATTAACATGTTAAGCAATTAGACCTGTTTGGTCCAATTTTAATATAATTTAAACTTTTTATTTAATTAAATAAATGAAAATATAGAGAATAACATAATAGATCATGGCTTCTCAGTTTCAGTCCTGGAGGGCCGGTGTCCATAAAGAGACACATATACATTGAAATAAAAATAAGACCCCACTAAAAATACAAACACCACAAATAAAGTAGTGTATAGTTCACAATGCATACCGTTTTGACCGTTTGTTATTTCTCAACAGAGAAAAAATGGGGCATGGACTTATGGTTGAGACCTCCAAGAACCCAAACTGCCCCAAGGTGTGTTTCAGTACATATCTCTAAAAACACATGCAGTTTTCATCTGTCCAATGAGTAAATAAACCGCTCATTGTTTCCTCTAGGTGTCAGCAGTGAGCACGGTAGTGAACAGAGGCCTGCCACTGAAAGCGTATGTCTTCAGGAATTACAACTTCCTGCCAGGGGTTCGTTCGCACTACTTGGGCAGCTGTCAGCATAAAATGTGGCAGGCCATTCGAGCATCGTCCGCCGCTCCAGGATACTTCCAAGAATTTGTGCTAGGAAATGACCTTCACCAGGTAAACTACTCAAAATCTGGACTACACTATCTGCCCTCGCCATCAGCTGTGTTTTAAGGGTTAATTATTTATAAAACACCTTTTTTCGACATGATACCGAGTGCTCTGACTGTATATGTGATGACGTCATGCATCTTTCCAGAGATTGAAAATCATTAAAAATCCTTTTAGGTTGTTGTCAGAAGAAGATGATAAAGGAAAAGCAAACTCTGCGCATACATGCACTCAGAGCGTTTCCTGCTGCCTCATCAGGGCTGTGCGTTCAGACTCATTAGTGTTGATCTTGAGTGCCGTCATTCAGGGCACTTCAGTTTCGGCTGCCTTTAAAGTGCCTCTCAAAATACTGTTTAAAGAGATTCCTGTCAGAGGGATTGTTTTCCTTCTCTGATCCACTCTTCTTCAAATGCTTGTAGCCTTGAAGTGTTGCGGCGTATTATTTGCACTTGATATGAGAAGTCATTTTACTGCGTACACAAACTACAGTGGAGATCAAGGAAGGAATTTTTAGTTAAGGTGACCATAGTAGATCATTCATTCATTCATTTTCTTGTCGGCTTAGTCCCTTTATTAATCCGGGGTCGCCACAGTGGAATGAACCGGCAACTTATCCAGCACGTTTTTATGCAGCGGATGCTCTTCCAGCGGCAACCTATCTCCGGGAACCATAGTAGATCAGTGTTTTACCAAATACTTAAGTTTTATTTTGTGGAAAACAGTGATCAAAATTAGAGAGCTGCAATGAGTGTAACACAAAGAAAGATTTTAACTAATATTTTTGAAGGGTAAACCAGTCCAAAATTAATATTAAGTGCTATCATCTCGCTTTTTATGACTTTGACACGTCTTTGTCTACAGGACACCATTAGTCTCACACTGCTGTACTGTGAACTTCTTTACTGACTGTAGTGTATTTTAGCCATAACATTGTCGCCAAGGTTTTTTTCTGAAATTTTCAATCAGGTTTAGGTCTGGACTCTGGGCTGCCATTTCATTATTTCAATGTTTTTAGCTCCAAGAACCTGCTTTAACTCTTTTGTTGTGTGATGACTTTTAAAATCATTTCTATCTGATAAAAAAATTTATGGAACTGCATGTTACAGAAGGAGCTTCTGGTAAATATTTTCATTCACTTTGTCCTCGTTTACACAGCCAGTAAGTGTGACCCAATTCAGATTTTTTGCTCAAATGTGACACAGATGTAAAAAAAAAAAAAAAACACATGCATTTGGATATTGTTGTAAAAAAAAGTAAATGAGTGAATAGAGAAGAGAACCCAGTCCAGGAGACTCGAAACAAGCAGAATTCCTTTATTGTTGGCTAATCTGCAGTCAAACAGCGCCTTCAAGAAATCCATGTGTCTACAGGAGGCCTACTAGAGGTCCGCAGTCTGCAAGTTCTATCACAAGTCTGATTTGAGACAAAAATTTCATGTCTATATTGTGTTTTTAGGAGGAGGGGAGATGGCTAAACAAAGCATGCAAATGAATTGTAGTTGTCGGCAGGGTAAACTGCCTTTTCAGGCCTGATCTCATCATGTTCTGGAGACAGAAACTGCCTGACCAGTTGATCCAAAAGAGAAAACAAGTGACACAGCCGTGCTGTGGAACTGACACTTTGGATTACTTTGAAATATAAATTTATATTCCCACAATATTCAGAGATCAGTTTCCTCCTTTATATGTGGAAATAAATCAGATACGTAATGAAGTTTGCCCTGCGCGGTCACGGTTTTTAAAGAAACTTTTAGGTGTGTTAATCTTGTCAATGCTATTGTTCATGAAGGTCATGATTCGCACTCATCAAATAATTGCTTTGTTCAGTTTTTATTTTCAAAACACAAACTTTTTGGCACACCTCACACACTGAGCAATGCATTGCGCCGTAACATTTGCTGTTTTTGTATGACCCAAAGAATGTAAAAATAACTGAACGGAGCAATTATTTGATGAGTGCGAATCATGACCTTCTTGAGAAATAGATCAGATATAAATCGGATATGTGACAATGCGACTATCATGTAAACAGGCAGATCGGATTTATTGAGGCAATTAGTTTTCTGTTTGTTTTGTGTTTTAACAATGTGGTACCTCTCCGCGGTTAAATGACAAAGAAGGAAGAGCATGTGTGGAGATGCCGACGCGGTAAACATGAAGGAGGAAAGTGGTCACAATTTGATCCCACCAGACCTGAGATCTCTCTCATACCCACAAATTCCTCTGAATGGTGGAGGACACCAAATATAAACCATATTCCCTTCTCCTTTGCCTCAAAATAATTTTAAAATTGGGCAAACTTTGCATATTTCGCAGAGCTAAATACAAGTCTGTTTCTTTCATCGTGGCTAATGTAGTACTAAAACCCACCTTTACGCATGCGCGACATTGTAAATTGTATAGCAAGTGTAAATGCATGAGTCGGATATGGATCACAATTAAAAGAACGTGTAAATGGACAGGCAAAAAAATCAGATATGGCATCAAGACCAGACAGTGTAAACGTGACCTTAGTCACAGATAACCTGCCACGGAAAACATCCTTAAAACCATAACATTTAACCTTTACTTTCAGCAACTCTGCACAGAAATGCCAACAAACTCCAACTAGTTGGTTGTTTTACTTATGTTGTAAAGAAATTCTGTCATGTTCACATTGCCGCAACAATAACCACGTACAATAAATAAATAATTAATGAACTCATCCTTCTCCATGCTAAAAAGACATTCAATTCAGTTTATATCAAGTTTATCTGTATAGCGCAGTTCACAAAAGCTATTGTTTCATAGCAGCTTTACAAAAAGTCTACATTATTGTATCCCAATCAAAATCAGAAAAGTTATTAATTACCATAGTAATACTTACCATACTTAGTTGCTAATTACTTTGACGAGAAACTAATAGCTTTTAACTTTTGATGTTATATGTATATGCATAGTAAACCTACAGTCTTATAGTATAAATGTGATGGCATTGTGTACATGTTCAATGAAGTATTAAGTGTATGTGTTGTCCTTAAAGTCTTCGATGGTTGGCATCATCTCTTCACAGGTCTTGGATCTCATTTCAGTGAAGCCTATCTGGTCCCTAGTCAGATTAAATCTCACTGATTGAACATGTTCAGTTAGGTGAAAATAAACTCAGATCAGCCACAACAGACGCCGATAGGTGTCTGTAACACACCGATCCAGCAAACTCCAGCAGACTTGTTTGTTGATGTTTGTCTGTGTGGTGTGAATTGGCCGTTACACACTTTGGGTTTAGTCTTTCCCTAGTTTGATGACGAACTCTGAAACTAGTGAGCAATTCCATAAATCACAGTCTTCACCAAGTCAGTGAAAACTGGAAAATTAGGCTGCCAGTTAAAAAAGGGTTGTTGTCACTTGATAATAAACTCATCACCATGTGCCAGATTAGAACCAATAAGTGGGAGGAAACTGAAAGTGTCCACTAATTATTATCAGTATTGCTTTTCAGTTATTTAATTTGGTTTCTTTTTATTGTGCTTTAGAATATATGTGAAACATCCTTAAATTTATTTTACTCCTGTTTGGATAGCCTAAAAAAAGACTAATCTCTGGCCTTGAATTTAGGTAATTGTAGGTTCTATAATCTTGACATCCATTATATAATTTTACAGCAAAGGGTTTTATTCTTTTTTTTTTAAGTCCCCTGAGTATCTGTCTGGTGTTTTTGCATTTCTGCCTGTCTTCATCCAGCTCAAACTGGCACAGATCCAGTCCTGCCAAACTGAACGCGTCCTCACAGCCTGAGATTTCATCAGCCTGTAGTCTTTCTGCTAAGCGGCACACATTCATGTTGAATCGAAGCCTTCAGCAGAGCCTGTTGAGCCTTCGGGAAGGCGTCATTCTGTCCGTTTGCCTATTGACATACACCAAGGTCACATACAGCTTTCCACAATGTGCCTGTTGTCCCAAAAAAGTCATATAAAGCTGTTGGTCATTGAGTTAAATGAATGGACAGATTCAATGAGTGTCCAATGAGATCTAGGGTCTGAGGATGGCAGGCCTGTTATTGACGGTGCTATAAAATGTCATTTAAGGGATCATAGCCCATTTCTTAAGTTTTATGGATCATTAAAAAAAAATCAGTTATTGGATATTTGTTAATTACATGAAAACAATAATAAAAACTAAATTAAAGCAAAATGTGTGAATATTTAGAATATTTTTTTTATCTTTATTATTTAACCCTATTAATTTATTTATATATTTAAATTATTTGTTTTATGTTGTTTTAAAACAAATTAAATTAAATTCAAAGCAGAATAAAATAAAACTGAATAAAACAATGGAATTTGAAAGCATAAAATAAAACTAAATAAATTCAATTAAATTAAAACAGAATAAAATGAAATAAAACTAAATAAAACAATGGAATTTGACACCATAAAACAAAACAAAATAAATTAAATTAAATTAAAACAGAATAAAATAAAATAAAACAATTGGATTGTAACCTCAATACTTGATGTTGTTTAATAAATATGAATCAGTACTTTTATACCTATTAATCTATTTAAAGTACAAATTAAACAACATTGTGTTGGGGGGTTGGATAAGTAAACAAGATTGTATATCACTTGTTAAAATAAATAGATTTATAATATTTCATCCTTAAATTCATCATTTCTAATCTATTCTTTTATTTAAAATGTATTGAATATAAATTTCTTTTTGATTTTGTTTTGGGTGATAAAAAAATCTCCTAACACATTGCGTGTGTAAATTATATACTTTTATTTAATCCCCTGCATGATGTTTTCATGCGTGCATCAGATATAATCCTCATTTTGCAGTCACACATTCTCTTGGAGAACATTAGATGAAATGTAGACTGACACTGTCTTGGGGGAAGGCCTAATTTATTGGTGAACAAGAGGAGAAAGAGCTATTTTTAGATGATATTTCTTCTTTATCTAATAGTCGGTGTAGCTGATTCCATTTTTTTAGCCTAAGGCTCGACTAAACCCACTTAACACGCATCCAATAGGTTAATCTTCCCATAATTCCTCTTTTAAAGCTGCCTTTCTCTGTTTTGATGTATGTTTTTGCAGTGTGGGCTGAATGTGTCCTCATTAAAATGCAAATGTAGTAGAGGCTGGCTCTAAAACCTGTTGCCAACAGAGCGCTCGATGCCCGGACTCTGAATGCCACCGGTGGCAAAGCTTCTCTCGTTGGTTTTCTCAGTCTGAATGGCTCTTCAGTTTCTTCTCCACTTGCCAGGGCTGTAATCTGTTATGCATACTCTCCTCAAGGGCCCTCCACCATCAAACAACAAGTCAGTGCACTGCTGTTTGTTAGTTTTTCCTCTTTGTTTGAATGATTGAGTCATTGAAGGAATAGTTCACCCAGAAATTCATTTTTTGTGCTCGCCCTCATTGAGAAAATTTTTAGTTTTGTTGTGGAAGAGCAGCTTTTGCACATAGAAAGCTATTTTAGTATCATTCAGATGCTATTTTGTTAATTAATAGAATAATTGGTCACACTACAATAAGGTTTCATAAGTTAATGTTAATGTAGTTACTTACTTGAACTAATTATGAGCAATGCTCGATAATTTATTAATCATACTTCAGCATTTACTAAAGAATTGTTAAAATTTAAATTCATGCTTGTTAACATTAGTTAGTGCACTTTGAGTTGAGAGGAACCTACAATGAACTGTATATTCATTAAATTACTTTAACTAAAATTAACAAATACTGTAATAAATGTATTGTTCAATGTTTGTTCATGTCAGTAAATGCTTTAACATTAACTAATGCAACCTCATTGTAAAGTGTTAATGAATTATTAGCTATTATTTTTTATTTATTTATTTATTACCTTTAATTTGGATAGAATAGTGGAGGACAAACAGGAAAAAATTGGGAGCAGAGAGAGGGGAAGGGTCGGTAAGGACCTCGAGCAGGGAATCGAACTTGGGTCACCGTGAGCACCATGGTGCTATATGGTGGAGCACTTAACCACTAGGCTATTGGCTAGTTTTTTTATTTAATTTATTTATTTTTTATTAGTTTGTTTGAAATGTTTAATTGACACCTATGTGAAATAACTTAGACTAAAATTGAAATGAATAAAACTATATTTGTTTATTTAAAAAATAATTCATAAATTAATTAAAAATAAAACAAAATGACTGAAAGGCTTTTACTAAAATTAAATGAATAAAACACCAATTAAATTGATAAATTATTAGTAAAATCTATATAAAACAAACATATTTCTCACTTTGATTGAATTAACTTTAAATAAAAACATGTAGAGTAAAATCTTTACTTAAATTTAAAATAGAAACAAAAAATGTGAATATAAAAAATGTTCAAGTAACAACAAACCAACAATAGTTCCATATAAAGAAATAAATAAAACTAAAGCCTCAAAAAAAATAAATAAATCTGAAAATTATTTTATATGAAACATGAATTATATTTAAAGTCTATGTGAGCTCAGATTGAAACTGGCAATTGTATAAAATATCATTGTATAAAAAATAGTTTGTGTAACCAAAGGGGAGTCGAGTGATAATGGAGCGAGGACCTAATATGCAGTTTTATTAAGAATCATAGGCAAGCAGGCAATGGTCAACAGGCACAAACATGTGCATATAAGGGGAATCCAGACGTGAAGTGAAGTCACAGGCAAAAGGTCGATACAGGCAGCAAACAATGAAAACAAGGAAGCAAAGCAAAGAAATGCGGAAAGATTAGACTAGGAAACACTTTCTAATCAGGGTCGAACCGGACCTGGTGTGTGAGCAAGGTGCCTGATGGGAAATGTAGTTCATAACATGACAGATTTGTAGTCCGGGTGATGGTGCATGTTTGCCAGTGATCTGCAAGGCCTGGATCACTAGTGAACATCACAGCTTGATTGTAAAAATAAAAAATCATTTTGTCTTCCACAGAAAAAGAACATCAACTTTAAAACTTATTTGATTTGAGAGAGAGCTTTTAGACATTGCTTAAATTTCACAGTTGTGATGGATTCTTTTGAATGATCGGTTCAGTAAATCTTATATTGATATCCTTTGACTCAGTGATCCACATCAGTATCTGTGTCACTAAAATGTAGGGCGTACTAGAGGAATAAATGATGCTGTCTAGTAGACAAATTCATCTTGTTTTCACTGATGTGCTCCTAAAGAAAGGCACGGAAACAGAGAAGGATGATGCCAAATAAATGGATTTCACAAGCCCCAGGTGAAATGAACACATCTACCCACGTCTCCAACAGAGCAGAGATCCTGATTCCCATAATCATATCAGCTGGAAATGCAAATTCACCTCTTTTATGTCCCACCTCAAGTATTTCAAAGAACAACCCAGATTTTTACAAAGACGCCTTTGCTTTCAGATGAGAATAGAAACCGTTATATATGGAAAGAAAAACAGTGTTTGATTAAAAAAAAAGAGTAATTTTATGCTATGTACATTTCTACGTAATTCTACTACTGCAATAAATAGTTTTTCCATGATTGATGTATAGTTTGTTAGGATGGGACAATATTTAGTCAACTTATACATTTTTGAAAATCTGTAATTTGAGGTCTTAAATAAAACAAAATATTGAGAAAAATCACCAATAAATTCACCATAAATCAAAATTTTGATAACTATGTTGATTCTGTTAGCTCACATTGCTCGTTTTGTGGTGAACAATTCATCTGGGCATGTCAGTAAGAAAAAAGATAGGGGTTTGTCAAAGTTTGTCCTTTTCATTTTTAATTAAAATGTAAAAAAAAAAAAAAAAAAAAAAGCTCTTTCTTTTTTTTCTTAGTTAAATACTCAGATTACATCAGTCTGAGGTATTGGGCGTGGCTAACATACTTAACCACGCCCCTACAGCTGTCAGTTTTGACAGCGCTATGATGACAAACAAAAATAGTGAGGGGGAGGTGTCTGTTAGGTTGTAATAACTCTCCCGAAACCCTTTACTACCGTTAAACTACAACCTTCAAACAGCAAAAAACAAGCCACGCTCACTGTTTTCTTATTTAATATTCCATTTGTCTAGGAACTGCGTCACAATATGAAAAAAAAACTGGTCACAGCTTCTGGTTCATGCAGACTTTGAAATTAAGTTCTTAACAATGCGTATTACTAATTTTAATATATAATTTTTATATATTTTTACAAAATGTCTTGAAGGAACATGATCTTTATATTTTCTTCACATTATTACTGGCTATTCCTACAAATACACCTGTGAAATGACTGTTGTTCAGGGTCATGTATGTATGCAGAAAAACAATTTTTTTCAACCCTCATCATAACCATTTGTTTAAGTGGACGTGTGCTTTAGAGCATGTTTTGATTGATGACTAACATCACTGCATAGGAAATCACTGATATTATAAGTGTAAGACTATGAGCAATTGAATGTGCAGACGGGCAAAGCCTGTGATCTGAAGGCGGAGTCTATTTACAACTGTGATGTCACACGGAACTTCATTGGAAAACCAATCGTTTTTCACAGCTTGATTTCATAAATGCTATGTTTATAACAAGAAGGGTGTTTGAAGTCTTGAAACGTGCAGGACATTTTAATGGAACAAAGACCTCTCATTTGTCAAAAATTCAAGGCAACTTTGATTTCACATGTCATGCCTCCTTTAAATACTATGTTTTGTTTGCTCCAATTGAACAGGAAAATAAGTTGGTTGGATTTCTTGTTAAAGTGTTCTTCTTTCTGGTTTTATTCAGGACGGTGGTCTCTTGATCAATAACCCCACAGCTCTGGCCATCCATGAGAGCAAGTGTCTGTGGCCAAACACACCAGTGCAGTGTGTGGTGTCTCTGGGCACAGGTCGATACGAAACCGCCACCAAGACCAGCGCGAGCACTTATACCAGCCTGAAGACCAAACTCACCAATGTCATCAGCAGCGCCACAGACACAGAAGGTGAGAGGACAGAGTCACATGAGCACATCTGTGTCATTCTGTCTTACTCTACTGCTCTGCATTTCCCTATATGAACAATCACAAATGTTCCCTGACATGAGTCTGATTTTGTTCATATTTGGAGAATGTACTGTATTCCTTAAAATAAGCAATATGACTTTTTCACAAAAGCAAACAAACAAACCAAAGAAAAAAATATATTTTTTATTTTTACTAATGACCATTTTAAGTCAAAAACATTGCTACGCATTCTGAACAATAATCTTGTGTTATTTTAGCTAGATTAATCTTTTATGAAAGAATAATGAGAAAATGTAACTCCTAGATAGGGCTGCGCTATATTGGAAGTAACTGACATTGCAATATTTTTATTCTCTGCAATATATATTGCGATATAAATGCAGTTTCAGCTGATGACATAAATATCTTGTAAAGAATTAATAATTTTAGATCGGTTGGGATGGTTCTGTAGGGGAGCATATTTGCATAAAATATAATTTAAAAAATGACAAGCAAAGTTAAATGCGATAGAGAAAAGATGCAAATAAGCAAGGATATATGATTTTTCTGCGGAGTCAAACCGTTTTCAGAAGCAGAAAATAAATTATCACTGTATAATAATAATAATAATAATAATAATAATATTAATAATAATAGTATTAGTATTAATATTAATAATAATAATAACACTGTATTATTAATCTATTTATCAATAGGATAGAAAAGTTTATTTTATTGTGCCCAAATGGCTTAAATTCGCTTCCAATTCTCATAGTCAGGTCCTAAAAACACATGCAAATAATAAACTTTCCCTTGAAGGTTAAAATCTGAAATGCATCCATTATCAACTACTATAATCTCAACTACGTTGCAGATCCCTGCAATGTGACTATTGCGGACTCGCATATTGCAGTATCGATGCTAAAACGGTTTATTGTGCAGCCCTACTCCTAGATCTCTGTGTATTCCAGTTTTAAAAATGCGGTTTAATTTGAATAATTAAATTTCTAATTATTTGATTTTGAGTTATACACTTAATGCAAATTGCAAATTCATTTCATTTGTTCTGATTTAAAAAATTCTAAAGAAAAGTAAAGTCGTTATTTTAGGAATTTAATTATCATTTAAATAAATTATATAACATCTATATAAATTAATTAAAAAATATAATGCGAGTGTATATTTATATATTAATAAAATATAGTTAGTAAAAAATATTATTAATAATATAAGATGAAGTAAATACATATAAAAAATAATTTTAATAGATTTTGTTTCATTCATTTACATGAAATTTGTTACTTAAAAAAAACTAAATAACGAAAACTGTGATATGACCCTTTTAAATCATTAAACACAGTTATTATTTTGCTGTTTGTGACTATATAATCCTATATTTCTCTCTTATTTTAATTATAGAGGTCCACACAATGCTGGACGCCCTCCTCCCCCCGAACACCTACTTCCGTTTCAACCCTTACATGAGTGAGGACGTCCCGTTAGACGAGAACAGACAAGAGAGGCTGGACTACCTGCAGGCTGAGGGGCGTCGTTACCTGGAGCGCAATGAGAATAAGCTAAAGAAAGTGGCTAGTGTCCTCACGCAGGAAAAAGGTATCGTTCAGAAGCTCGCAGAATGGGTACAACTCAAAGCTGACATGTACGACGGCCTTCCCTTTCGCTCTAAACTCTAAAACCCACACTCTAAACCAAACTAGCACAACCCCTGACGTTTTCCGTGTAGTGTTAAAAACAATGCAAACTGTGTACTGCAGTGGAAAGGAGTGTTACCGTGCCATTTGATAACTGAAAATAGGGAATCAAGTCTATTGCCTCATATTGACGAGCACATTAGAAGGTAAATTGGTTCATCTGGTTTGATTTATACATTATATATATATATATATACATAAATATTTACCTTGTGGATCTTATTTGAAATGAAGAGCCTCGCAAGCATGAAATGTTAGTGGCAATGCTAACTAGCTAACATTTGAGTTTGCTGTTTGTTTGTTCCTACTAATGTCATTTTGAGTCTGAAATAGTATAAAATTGCTGTTGTGTAGTGTTTTCACTTAAAAAAAAAAAAGTTTCAAGACAATACTGCGAGTAGTTGACTAAACTAACACTACTGTAGTTAGCATGAGGTGCTACTAGATGCACAGACTGAAGTGTGTGTAAATAATGTCCAATCAAACGCAAACTGATGTTCATAATTGTCCACATTTATTTATATCAAACCTCAAAGGGAACCAACGGCACTGACCTTTAAAAGATTTTGCACAAGAAAGCACTTACTGCAGTTGTATCTTTAATTTAGCATTGATTACTGTGGAAATGCTAATCAGCTAATCCATAATTTTGGATATTATGTTTGAAAGCCTCAGCTGTATTTCAGTATACATTTTCATTTGCTCCTATGCGCACTTGACTGGAAAATATTTTAGTTAATTTATTGGTTCTGTTCGGATTGAGTGTGATTTCTTGTAAAATACTATTAATCCTTGAATGCGATGAGTGAGATTATGACTGTGTTGTCAATTCAGTTTTAACCGCAAATGCCCTTTTCCGAATAACACCTTAAAGTTGTGATTGTGAGGAAAAATAAACGATTTTAAATCTCAAACTGTCATGGTTCATAGTTTCTTCCCCGTCTCTAATGGTTTCAGATATGATTTATAGTATATTCACTCGCCAGCCACATTATTAGGTACACATTCAACTGCTTGGTTAATTCATATAATAGTCAATCAATCATATAATAGCTCAACCAACTGGACAATAGTATAGTAAAAAAGCTTGCCTGTTATTGACTTATGCTTCAACACTTGGATGAGTTGGCGCAGATTTACATTATTATTAATCAACAGAATGAAAGCATGGATTCGTCCTGCACTGCATATTTAGGGTGATGTTGACACGCTTTCATTTAAATGCAACAGAGTTTTGTGGCTGACCTTGTCTATAGGGGCAGATTTTGTGATTCGGGGCCCTAAGAAATTCCAGCCAGGGTCCCAAACAGTCCTAAAATGCACCTCTCTACATCTCTACATTTCAATGACGTTACGTTTTTTTGATCGCACTTTATTTTGATGGTCGGTTTGAATTTATGTTTCAGTACATGCCAACTAATTCTCATTAGATTATAAGTAGACTGTTAGGTTGGGGTTAGTGTAAGTTGACATGTACTTGCAAAGCTTCTTAATGTCTGTCGAAGAAGTAGTATCAACAGATATTAAGCAGACAGTCTACTAATACTCAAATGGACCATCAAAATAAAGTCTTACCATTTTTTTTTATGAATTCACAACTAAAACAAATTAATAACTCGTTTTAAAACCAAATCTTTACCTGATTTGACTGCTGTGCTGCTCCATGATTAGGGTTGTAAGACAAATTTGCGTACATGTTATAATTCCATTCAAATTGTATTTGTTAGACCCTAACCATACAATATCTAATACAAAAAAAATATGTTATAGTTATAATTTATACTCCTAGGTATTTACCGGGGCCCTAAATTTACCTTGGACCCTAAGCGGCTGCTTATCTCGCTTATTGGTTAAATCCGTCCCTTAATGTCCATCCCTTTTTGACTCCGTCTTGTGATCTACATGACACCATTTAGGAAATCTTCTCAATATAGATTCTTGTAAATAACTATGGCTGTGTCCGAAACCGCATACTTTCATACTCTAGAGCAGGGGTGCTCAATCCTGTTCCTGGAGATCTACCTTCCTGTACAGTTTAGCTCCTATCCTGATCAAACCCACCTGAACCAATTAATTAGGACCTGAAATCCACTTCTGTGTATTGTCTCTTCTTGTTGAATCACTGAATGCCTCCTCAATTGTAAGCCACTTTGGACAAAAGCATCCGCTATGACTAAATTTAAGCGTAAACCTAAATGACCTCCGTAGTGTCCTGATTTTAATCCCATAGTGCAACTTTGGGATGATGTGGAATGGGAGATTTGAATCATAGATGTCCAGCCAACAAATCTAATGTTCTCATGTCAATATGGACCAAAAATTGGTAGTATTGCTTCCAGAAAATTATTAAAGTCAAGGCTGTTCTGAGGGCAAAAGCAGGTCCAGCGCTATCAATGTCTACCTAATAAAGTGACTGATTTCTAGATTGTCTTTTTTTGATTCCTCGTGAGACTGAGAAGGACTGAATCTAATTGAGAATCCACATTTCAGATTCTCTCTGTCAGATTACTTTGGCCGAAAGCTATCCGATCCACCAGCACTTGTTTCCATTCGTAATTAATTTGGCAGTGTTTAATTGCTTTTTCCAATTGCTTAATTGATTTCTGCTTGTCTGTTTTCTACACTGTTGGCAAACTAGCTGTTATTTTTAGCAGCCAGTCAAGCAAACAAGAAATATAAATGGCTCCCTGCATACACAAACTGCTGATCTTTGAAAAATTTACCCGTTTTTATATTAAACAGGTCAGTGAGTTTTCTCAGCTCTGTAACCTGATGTGAAGACTGTGTGTTTTTTTTTTCATCCATGGAAACGTTCAGTGATGTGTCAAATCCCACAGGTGAGTGCGAGAAGAGACTCTGTTTGATAGAAATATGCTCAAATCCACATTTCAGTGCTACCGGCAGCTGTATGTGAGACGCTGGCCTGTTTCAACAGATCTGCCATCTTGATTCTTTTTGATTGAACAGTTTCTATAATCTGGTTTCTGTTCAGTCTTTTAGTTATCTCTATTCAGTAACTGTAAGTTTTTATCATGACACATGCTATAGATGTAACAAAAAGTTTTCGATTTGGGAACTTTTACTCTTTTAAAACAAATAAATAAACTCTTGCATCTCCCTGCCATCATCCCTGCAATCATTCTATAAAGGCTTCAGTCACCTTTGGCATCAGATATCACTGTTATGTCACTAAAAAGCAGTCTAGCTTAGTCCCTTATTTGTCAGGGGTCACCACAGTGGAATGAACCGCTTTTCCGGCACATGTTTTACGCAGCGGATGCCCTTCCAGCTACAACCCATTACTGGGAAACACCCATACACATTCACACATGCACTCACACAATATAGCCAATTATGTTTTACCTAATTCACCTACACCGCATGTCTTTGGACTGTGGGGTTAACCGGAGCACCTGAAGGAAACTCACATAAACACGACGAGAACATGCAAACTCCACAAAGAAATGCCAACTGACCCGACCGGGACTCAAACCAGGAACCTTCTTGCTGTAAGGCGACAGTGCTAACCACTGAGCCACTGTGCCACCTAAAAAAAGCAGTAATCGATTGTTATTTTATATCTGAATTGTTCCACTTGTTCCACTTCATAAACTAATTGTTGTAATATGTAACCCTGTGTAACCTAGAGCTGTTCCCTAGCAACAATTTCTTCACCTCAGAAAAAAAAAAATGATCTGAAAATATTGGGTTTCAAGCTCTCATTTCTGCTCTTTACTGTAAAGTTTTTAATATTTAGATTTAAAAAAACAAAACATGTACATTTATATGTATTTATGTACAGTTGAAGTCAGAATTATTAACCCCCCGTTCCCAATTTCTGTTTAATTGAGAGAAGATTTTTTCAACACATTTCTAAACATAATAGTTTTAATAACTCATTTCTAATAACTGATTAATTTTATCTTTGCCATGATGACAGTACAGAATATTTGAATAGATATTTTTCAAAACACTTCTACACAGCTGTGGAAGTGACATTTAAAGGCTTAATTAGGTTAATTAGGCAGGTTAGGGTAATTAGGCAAGTTATTATATAATGATGGTTTGTTCTGTAGACTATCGAAAAAAATAGCTTAAAGGGGCTAATAATTCTGACCCTAATGGGTTTAAAAAAATTCAAAAATGCTTTTAATCTTACCGAAATAAAACAACAAAGACTTTCTCCAGAAGAAAAAATATTATCAGACATACTGTGAAAATTTCCTTGCTCTGTTAAACATCATTTGGGAAATAATTTAAAAAGAAATAAAAAAATCAAAGGTGGGCTAATTATTCTGATTTGTATATATCATATCTTCTTTACGTTAAATTACAAAAAACAAATTACCGCTTGTGCGAGGTGTTCCTAATGCAGCTCCTATGGAGCAGGACAGTAAACATGACATTATTCTCTCTTCTGTCTGCCCTTATCAGTCTCACACATTTTTTTTTCCTTTTTCCAAAAGTCTTGATAACACCATCATGGAATTTTTATTATTATTATTTCAGCAAATTGGAATGTAAAAATAACTATTTGTTGCACTCACTCTCCCATTCACTGTGCTCTTAGGTTTACCCAACTATGACGACTTCTGCTACTGAGAAACCCGGACATGTGAAAAGGGTCCATAAGAAGCAAACACGAGTGTTTAAATTCATATTTATTCAGTTTTTTAAAATTAATTTTACTAATATTATTGTGAAATAATAACAGTAATATTAAAATGTTCATATGATTTATTTACAATACAGTGTGTAAAGTAATATGTTCTGTCTTTTTGTAGATAGATTATATGAGATACTAGCTTTGTTTACCAAATAAGTGGATCTAATTAGATTTGTATTGTAAACATTAAATAAAAGTTAAAAAGGTATTTTTTTATATCATATAGTAAATTTTTAGCTATGATACTCCTAAAACCATTCTGCATAAATCTGCAGATTTTTTTTTCAAAATCCTCAGCAGAAATTGCAAAAAATGTCCGCACATTCTGTCCAACCTTTGTTATGACATATTTATCCTGCATATTATGAATCAAAATGTGTGTGTATGTATGCATTATATATATATATATATATATATATATATATATATATATATATATATATAAGAAAATAATCAGTTGTTATAAATATATTTATATTACCTTTTTTTTAGGATTTACAACTTTTAGTTTTGTAAATTTTAGTTTAAGTTTTGCTTTATGCTGTAAACTATTGATGACGTTTTTGCATAATTAAAAATAAACAAATATTTTAGTGAAAAAATCACTATAAATATATACAGAGGATTCTCTAAGTACACAGCTCCTTATATAAGATGAATATATCCATTTAAATAAAAAAGGGTTTTGCATTATTTTGTAAACTGATGACTTTTCTTCCAAATTTTTATGAAAATGGTTGATTTTAAATGTACTAATATAAATAAATAAATATACAGATGCATACATAAAGAATATTCAAATTACGAACCTCCTTATATAAGGACTATCCAATATATAACCAATCGTTATCACAGTTTATCTTTCACTAGCATAATGTGTCATCAAACAGGTGCAGACAAACATTCAAGGTGAAATGGAGCTTACAGTTTAGTCAGATATTGATGGAATCCATCTATTCTCCAAACCATTATCCTCAGTAAGGTCATGAGTGGGAAGAAAAGAGAGCTAGGAAGTATACAAACAACTACCGGTTGGCTCTGGAACACACTGTATGGATTTTTTTCTGGATGATATATGTCTTTAAAGCCGTCTGCAAACCAATTTAGGAAGTGCGGCGTATAAACAAAGCCAGTCTGCATTAACTCAGAGAGACGTGAGAGCTACGGTGTTATTGAGAGTGCACTTTCAGTAGCCTATCAGAGAAGAGCTTCTTGTTTAAAACTTTTGAATCTGGGTGGACTTTAGAT